GTTATCTAATGACATAAAGATAGGACCTGCTTGGTAAGCAAAACACTATATATTTATCCTCAAATAGAAAATACTTTTTACAACAAGTGCTTTCTATTTTCTAATGCACACCTTTTTATGTTTTAGTGCATAGATAGTGTTTACCTAATGAAGTGTTATCTTTGTTTATTTTATTTTTACTATTTTATTTAATTTTTATAGTTCATTCTCATTTTTTAGAGTGCTATATAGGCAAAAATAATTCAAGACAAACAACTATAACAATAAGTAAAAAATTCTCACCATGATTCATAAAATATATAAAGTATACATTAAGTATGTAGGTAGCAAAATCAAAAGATTATAATGTTTATATGGACCTAACATATTACAATTGTTTGCTACCATTGTAGTAATATATACAATCACAATCAATATTTTTCCAATACAATGTAGCTTCTAGAAAAGGCAATGTGTATAAGACGACCTAACATATTAAATATTGTCATGAACTCAACAATCACATAGGTAACCAATTTTTGTCCAATATCATGTAGTTCCATAGTCTTAGAATATTCCATGGCCAATTGATGCTGTAATAAAAAGAAAATATATTTGTCATCAACTAGAAACAACATAAAAGGAAGTGTTGAGATTAAAATCAATACGAGTAGTGGCATAATTTCATAAAGCAATATGCAAGCACAACATACTATTGACCTATAATAAACATTTATTAATGATATATAAACATCAATCTTCTCTAACTTCAGTGATTTGATCTTTAAAATGTCATTATCAATTGCAACTAGGAAAGTACTACAAAAATGAAAAATAAAATTAAAATTAACTAACAAAAGTTATACTACAAAGAAATTATATACAACCAAGATAACATACATCTTTTAGATATATAATTATATATATAGATATATGAGTTATATTAATCTATCATGTTACTCATTGATAATAGTTATATAAATGTCAAGACGCAACACATTCGTATGACTCTTATTCTTAATCTAATAAAATTTTCTAAACAAGGAACTAAGGAAAATTCATATGCTTACATGTATGAGTTTTCAAACTAACATCATTCGCAAAACAAAAAATAAAACAATATTCATCCCACCTTAATTTTGATGACACCGTGATTTGCATATAATGATAGTCCACAATTAAAAATTGAAAAAAGAATAAAATGCAATAAGTATAAAATGAAAGTACTAGTTAAATTGGAGCATATAATGTTTAACTGTTGACACCAGATAAGGAAAAATCCACATCAAATATTTATGCCTATATATATAAAATCCCAATTGCAACAAAGCTACTTCCTTATTTATATAGGTCGATCAATTCCCAAGTTAAATAGGTTCGTGATAACAAGTAGTAACGAAAGGATTCTCGGATCTCTCCTTTGTGTCTCAATTGTGGAAAAAAAATGTCCCTTGCTTTATTTTGTCACTCTTACATATCCGTCGCTTTACTTGCAAGCTTTTATATTTACTTTTACTATCAAATTCAGAAGAATTATATGCAGATACTTCAAAAAAAGGAAAAAAATATTGTTGTAGATACATACATAAATATTTTTTTTGGGTGCTTAAACCCTAAACTCTAATGAACCACCAGAGGCTCAAAAATCATAAAATATTAAATCAAAGCTATATTTTTAAGAATTAATCATTTATACATTGTTAATGTAAAGTTTTTTACACTGACAATCAATCATATCTTTTAAAGTTATTTATTTTATTATTATTCCATTAAATAATACTAACAGTATATAAAAAATTAACTCTATTTTAAAAGGCTTGTAAATTGCTTAATCATGGCTTTTGATTGTAATGTATGAATTCAATACTTGATGAGACAAATTCACACATAAATGTTATATTGATTGACTTGTAGGTTTGTTCCTTCTATTAGTTTAGTTGTTTTTTTTTGTGATGTGATTGTTTGGCTTCTGTATCATGTAATTATTATGTAAATATGGTTCATTATTAGAGTTGTGTTAAAGGTAATTAATGTTGGAGGTGATGGTTGTCATAAAAGAAACATACAAAAAATTGTTGAATAAAGATAATCAATGTCGGAGATAGTGATTGTCTTAAAAAGAAACATAAAAAAGTGTAAAGACTAGTAAAATATATTTTATATGTTCTCTATTATAAGAAAAAAAAATTAATCTCACATATATTAAAAAAATTAATTTTATGCATTAAAAGAATTGATCTTAATCAATCAAACTTTTATTTAAAGACTAAAAATTGAATTTAAAAAAAAAAGTTTAGGATTGTTTGATACACACTATAAAGTATAGGTTAAGGAGAATAATAGAAGGTATACGATAACTTTTTGTTCTATATATTATTTAGTGAGAATAAATAAAATAATATTAAATTTATTATAATATTATTTTTTATATTAATTATCATAAATTATTATTATTTTAATAAAATGGTGGTGAGAATATTTTTTATGACAATAATAATAATAATAATAATAATAATAATAATAATAATAATGTCATAATAACGATTGATATTAAAATAATAAATTTTGATATTATTATATATAAAATAGTTTAATTAATTAAAAATATTAAATATGTGTTATAATTATTAATATAAATATGTTATAAATTAATTTTTAATATTAATATATGAAAGTTTCGTAGATACCATTAAATAAATACTCACACTAAATGTAACAGGCGACGGAAAGATAGTTAGTACTGCCTTTATCATGTTGCCATCCATACTCTCACTCGTATAATAATAATAATGCAGATCCTTCATGAACAGAATTTTTTGCAATAACTTGCGGGTTAGATTTATGCTGGGAGATGGGCTATTATGGTCTAATATGAATTTATTTATAAAAGAAAGGTTCTAATATGAACCACATTCTAAGTAAATAAAAAAAAAAAGTTTCTTAATGTTTATACATTCTAATAAAAATATCAAAATTTTAATATTTTAAAATTTTAAATTTAAATGCACTAACCAAACATTAAAATTTTAAATTTTCATCTCTTGAAAATTTAAAAATTCAAATATCAAAGTTTTAGTATTTTAAATATATATATATATATATATATGAGGAGGGTTCAAATGACACTGGTGTAACTTTTACTAAGTGTTACACCGCTCAATAACTTTATATTAAATGTGAATTTTGAAAATCCAACCGTTAGATTGAAAGTTCATATCTCTTAGATCATATATATCAAATTTTATATTAATCTAAGATGATTTGATACTTCATTCTCATAAAACAAAATTGACGTAATATATACATTTCAAAATATACTAAAATATGAACACTTTGATTACCTTCAAGTTGTTGTTCAATTTTAACAAAATTTGACATATATGATCTAAGAGATATGAACTTTCAATCTAACGGTTGAATTTTCAAAATTCATATTTAATATAAAGTTATTGAGCGGTATAACACTTAGTAAAAGTTACACCGGTATTATTTGAACCCTGCTCTATATTATATATATATATATATATAATTAATATTGTTAAATTTTAATGCGAGGCATACTAACTCACAAGCTTCGAGGATTAAACCCGTGACAGTAAACTTCACGGGCCATGTTAAGAAATTGCTATGACCATACAGATTTTAAGAAAATAGATCCATAAGCATTCGGGCTGTGGACTTAAAGGGCCTGTATGTAGACATAGTCTCATGTACCAAGTTACCAACCCTACTCAAAGATCATCTTCAAGCAGTAATTCTGTTTTAATAGGATTATAAAATAAATGAAGTAGCGACGACTGCGCATACATTATAAAGAAAACAACAGATAAACGAAAGAAATAGGAGCATTAGTTAATGGTATTAAATTCCTAGTTTCTTTTAAGAACTGTGTTTTTTTGTGTGGTAAATTTAAATACAAATACATGTACTATTGCAGTTATAGTATAAAAAGTTAAAAATATAATTATTTATTACAAAAGACTTTCTTGCTGGCAAAACACTTTTGAAAAAGAAAAAAAATCATATACTACAAAAAAAAATGCTTTTAAGGAGAAAAAAATTCTTGCAAACATTTTGGGTCATGGGAGTTTTTTCATATCAATAATTGACCAGGTCATTAAACAATGGGATTTCCAGTTAAACTGCGTCACAATTTTACATAAAATGGGATCCACAAGGAAGGCAAGTCATGAATTATAGCATATTTGGTTCAGCTTAAAAGGAAAAATTTTATCTTTCAAAAACTCTTAAAAAGACAAATTTTTTTTTTTTATAAAAAGAAGTCAAAACAATAACAGTACAGTGCACCAGTCTACGGCTTATTGCTAAAATGCTTAACTTCAGAAGTAGAATGACTGTAAGTTTTCTTTTTTTCTCCTTTTTCATTCAACCCCTGGTTAACCTAAACGGGTTTGTTTGGAAAAACAATTATACAGAGATCGGAA